GAGTGTGTTGACTTCCTTTCTTTCTTCGTCTCTTTCTTCTTGTTCATCGTCGCCGGCGACGGGACTGCTGGCAAGTCTGGGATTATTCCACACATTCCTTGAACTAAACATACATTCTTTGTAATCTTCGCCATGTCTGATACGGAGAAGCCTCAGTGCGGCAGCGAGGCGGATGCTGCCGTCTATGACTTTCCTCTGCACGTTGCTGCAGTTTGTAAGTACATCCAAGCCGATCATAGTACACCACTAACGTCTTCTTAGTCATTGTCTTCTTCGCTTCCATCTTCGGTGCTGGATTTCCAGTAGTAGCAAAGAAGGTCAAGTGGATGAAGATCCCACCGAAGGTCTTCTTCTTCTGCAAGCACTTTGGTACTGGTGTTCTAATCGCTACTGCCTTCGTCCATCTACTGCCGACCGCCTTTGCGTCGCTCAACGACCCATGCCTACCGGATCTTTTCACCGACGATTACCCTGCTCTGCCAGGTGTGATCATGATGGGTTCGCTCTTCATTCTCTTCACGATTGAGATGTGGCTTCACGCGAAGACTGGCGGTCACAGCCACGGTGGCGCAACGGGAGAGGCATTCAACGGCGCACAACACGCCCACCCCTCCACCACTGGCATCCAGGCGGCCTTCAACAACCCCATCCGACGAGTCGAAAGCTATGATTCGCAGAAGACAATGCTCGCTCAGCGCGACGAGAAGCGAGGATGGGTCGAGGAGTCAACTTACCCCGTGGACAACTTCCCGTTCCCCAAGAGCGGCAGCGACGAGCTCGAGGCCAAGTCCGAGATGCCACCTTGGTTCATCGTCTTCTACGAGCAATACGTGCGCCAGCGCGACGAGATGCTTGCCACGATCAACCGCGCCATGCCTCCTATGCCATCGTACCAGCAGCAACAGGCTCCTCACCAACCGGAGGCCAACTCGTACTTTGACGACGACGTCGAGGCGGCTGTCGACCCTCTTGTCCTCAAGAAGCAGTCCATGCAGATCACGCTCATCGAGGGTGGTATCCTGTTCCACTCCGTCTTCGTCGGCATGACCATCTCCATTACCGCCGAGGGTTTCATCATCCTGCTTATCGCCATCGTCTTCCATCAGATGTTCGAGGGTCTGGGTCTCGGCACACGTATCGCGGATGTTCCTTACCCCAAGAACAGCTGGAAGCCCTGGGCTCTCGTTGTTGCTTTCGGTACCACCGCGCCCATTGGCCAGGCCATCGGACTCATTACTCGTGGATCTTACGACCCCAACTCGGCGTTTGGTCTGATCATCGTCGGAGTGTTCAACGCCATCTCGTCCGGTCTTCTGATCTACGCTGCGCTCGTCGATCTGCTGGCCGAGGACTTCCTCTCTGAAGAGGCTCAGCACACAATGACCGGCAGCACCAAGACTTATGCATTCATCTATGTCCTTATGGGCGCAGCTGGTATGTCCATTGTCGGAGCCTTCGCCTAAGCGCGCTCGTCATGGGCTACTCTTCTGAAGTACCCATTGACTTTCAGCGTCGGCAAGCTCTACTGCACTACGCGCGACGCTTTTCCTTCATGTCTAGACAAGATCTGCTACAACAGCCTGGCAGAACGATCAACTGTACGAGTATGGGAACAACACTAGGCGTCATAACGTATATGACGGCACATGTTTAAACTGAAACAAGAATTACTTAAATGGGGCAGCCATTCACTCTTTACGTGGTCATCTCTTCTTTTTAGTGCATAATGTCATGTTCACCCGTTGCCTATCATCATCATCATCTCAATGTATCTTTGTCGGTAGATCCCAATGTGTTGCTAGACTATAGATATCACGAATTCATGACTCTGATATAGAGCTAAGCTAGAGATCTTGCGTGCATGCGATCTATGGTGATCTGGTTCGCGCTGAAACCCTAAGGAGGTCCTTCATGAGAGCTATGCCCAACAAATCTCGTGACGTCCTCTCGCTGCCTTCGCTGACTTCGCTGAACATTTGAATCCGGGGCTAAAGGGCGCGGCGACTTCTATGCGCATGTGCTCACGACGAGCCGAATCGGCAGAGGTCCGCCTCTGATGAGGAATAGAGTGTCGAAGCAGAGGTTCCTTTCGAAAGCCAAGAATCCAGCAGAGCTTCGCCGTCGGCTTCAGAAAGCAGAAGTCGGCGCTACTCTCATTGTGCCATACAACAGTGCGATGACCTATCGCTTTATACGCAATCTCCACGGATTCCACGGCCTCAGCATACTAATCATGCAAGTAAGAAATGCACTTGCCGAAGCAGCAAAAAGCCATCCGCGACCGGAATCCGCAAAGACCGAAGGTATGTTTGTCACGGGATTTGAATGGCGTTGTTGGCGGTTTGCTCGCCCTGTAATGCGGGTGTGGCTTGGCTGGGTCAAGACGTCGCGGCGCAGTGTGAGCTGCACTGGGCAAGCGCGCTTTCGGCCGGATTTTCGATGGCGGATATGCTTGGCTAGGTGTGATATGGGAGGATGTGCGTTTCGATCCGTGGTGGTGTTGACGACGATGAGGGGCAGGGTGTGAAACGCGTCTCGAGACGTTGGGGCGCGTGGCGTTGCAGGGTGAGACGGGGTGGGCGATATGAGTCAGCGTGGGTTAGTAAGGGCGACGGAACTTTGCGATGTGAAATATGGTACGTATTTGACTGAGAATGTGCTAAGAGTCCGAAGAACGGCCAGCGACCGCATCGCTAGTAACGAGATGAACGCCAGGAAATGCTACGACCCACCATCGACACGACGCGCCGCTCAAACCAAGTTACCCCGAGCATCCTGCTCCCGCTCGATTGCTTCGAACAGACTCTTGAAGTTACCCGCGCCAAACCCGTCGAAGTTGTTCCTTTGGATAATCTCAATAAACACCGTCGGCCGATCCATCAAGTGCTTTGTGAAAAGCTGCAGTAGGTAACCACCCTCATCAAAGTCAATCAGGATATCCAAGCTCTTCAGCACCTCAAAGTCCTCGTTGAGCTTGAGTCCCGACTTCTTGAGCCGCATCTTCATAGAATCGTAGTACGTCTCCGGCACCTTGATGAACTCCACGCCCCTCGCTTTCAGGTTGGTAATATCGCGAACGATATTATCAGTGCGTAGCGCAATATGCTGAACACCAGGACCACCGTAAAAGTCAACGTACTCCTCAATCTGGCTCTGCTTCTTGCCCTTGGCAGGCTCATTGATAGGCATCTTGACCACATCATTCGGCGAGCTCATAACGATACTCTTGAGCGCCGAGTACTCGGTGCAAATATCCTTGTCATCGACGCTCCAGAAGCGGTGGAAACCAAGCACCTTCTCGTAGTATTCGCACGCGCTTTCCATCTCGTCCCAGTCTTGGTTGCCGACGCAGTGGTCGATGGCTTCGAGCTTGACTTGGGGTAGGTACTTTTGGAGGGGGTCGGCGGATGTGGATTCGGGGCGGTAGCCGGGGAGGAAGATGCCGCCGTAGTTGTTCTTTTGGATGAGCGTGTGCGTTGTGTCGCCGTATGTGCGGATGGTGGCGAGGCGGACGGTGCCGTAGCTGTCGGAGATGTCGTGGGGGGCTGAGATGGTGGCTGCGCCTGATGAGACGGCGGCGGAGTATATGGCGTCTACGTTGTCGACTTCGAAAGCGACATCTGGGTTGGTAAGTCAGCAATAGTTCTCACATTGTAAGGGTTGTCACGTACCTTTGACGGCATCACCATGGCGCTCTTGGTGCTCATGGATCTCTCGAAGAAGCTGCTCATCTTCTTTGCTGAATCTTGAGCCCTGCTCTAGGCACCTCAAGGGCGATGTGAGGATGAAAGTCACCTTGCCGTTCCGTATAACATGGGACGCGGTGGTTCTTGATCCAGTCTCCAGTCCGCGGTATGCAACACGCTCAAAGCCCATACGCGAGACGTAGAACGAAGCTGCTTGTTTGGCGTTACCGACATACCAGTGTACATGGTGGTAGCCTTGGTACGAAGAGACATCGGAAGGGGTGGCAGCAGATTGCCGTGGCGATGCAGGTGGGGAGATAGCAGCGGGCGCCATTGTGAAAGTGATATGAGAACAGGAATGAACAGTTGAGTAACTCAGGTATAGTTCAAAGTACTCAGATCTCTGACTAGGGAGTGATAAAGCAGTGCTGCGAAGTGTAGTGAACTGCCCACTAGGCACCGATGCGCAGCCATTCTTTATCTTCTACCGTTCTGCATCCACTTCCCTTCTCGAACCGATATCCGATCACTCTTGCTAGCAATTACCATATTCAATCCAGGTAGCGTCATTTACTTGGTTATGCCGAGCTCACGTGCACTGGCCGCCATCAGAAAGCAAGTGTTGTCCGCCGCTTTCCGCCAATGAATGATCCGCCTGCATCCGCCGTAAGAACGACGCGTCGCAGTCGTGTGGTTGTAGCAAGCTCTCGGCGAGCGATTTGCGTCAGATCGCGATTATGGTGTTTGCGACTAGTTGCGCATACCCTGGAAACAGGGCTGTGTGGTTGTGATGCATGATGTTGCGTCTAGGAAGAGTGTTGGCCGGCCGCCTTGTTGTTGCGGCTTTGCAGGCCAGCCGTCAATTCCCTGGCGAGGCTGCCCTCACTGAATTCACAACCATGCGACTTCACCACCACCAGGTATATTATAATCATTTTTCATCTGACTTTATGCACTTCAGCGGCTCTATAGTGTGGCTTGTTCAAAAGTTACAAGAAAACACCGACGCGGAGAGCCATTAGATGGTGTTCTCGTCCATCCGCGCATAGGCCGAGCCAGACAGCCTCGCGCGAGCCGCCTTCCGCAGCCTACCTGAACTTTGCCGTGGAATTCCGCAGCTTAAGCCGAGTGAAAGAACGTGACATGCAACATCGCGATGATCAAAATGGCTTTCACGTGAAAGAACTTAGATGTTCCCTCGCTGAGTCCATATGCCAATCTTCTTCTACCACCTTCAAAAAGAGTTCAATTCCTAATTAGCCAGACCACTGCTTCAAGAGAGCCATCTATCCCACAACCAAACCCAACACAACCATGGCAGTCACCCTCCCCAACACATCCCTATCCGCAAACGACGCACGCATCCTCAACGCGCTATTCGATCCAGAAACCCTTCCTTCCTCCGTCGGCCAACAAAAAGACATATCGTCATCAATCGACCCATCACTACCCGCCCATCCCATCATACCAGACACGCAGCTCGCCGTGCTTGAACGCCAACAAAGCGAAATCATAGGCCGCATCTCCAGCACATCAAGCGCCACCGAGATAGACTCTGCGATCGAAGAACTGAATGCGGTGGTAGAGCAGTGGCCGGCGTATGCGGGCGCGTGGGTGAACCGTGCCATGGTACGGCGGATGAAGCTTGAAGCTACTTTGGCAGAAGGGAAGACCATTTTCGCAGCTATGACTGAGACATCGGAGTCAGACACTGAGGCTGTGTTCTCTGATCTCGCGCAAGCGATTAAAGTCTCCACAGCTTCCACATCAACACCAGCCGTATCGCCGCATGCTGCGAAGATTCTACGGACGGCATATTCGCACCGCGCGTATCTGTATCTCAAAGCTGTGGAATCAGAAGTGCGGCTAAATGGAATGACGAAGTCGGAGTTGGAGGAGCAAGCGAGTAAAGACTTTGCGGCTGCGGCAAGATATGGAGATGAAGTGGCGAGGGAGATGAGTGTCAGGACGAATCCGTATAAGAAGATGTGTGGAGTTATTGTTAGGGATGCGCTGAGGGAAGAGATGGGTATGAATGCTTCGGGCTGATAGAATGAAATACGATATACGGCTGTGTGATTCACTCGCTGCGCCACATGTTGTGGTTTGCTGCTAGAGACACGATCTATACATATATTTTGTTAGCTCTGGATCACAAGCTAGCCACTTTCAAGCTGAGGCGCTAAGCTATCGGCAAGCGCCCGGGACATGTTTCTGCAAGCAAACATCGATCTTATCTATGTATGTGATGCGGCACGGTTTCGCGAATCTTAAGCGGCACATCATTGCCCGCCGATAAGGCTCTTTCTGCATACTCAGCGTTCTATCATTCCCCTGCCACTGCCATACAACATACTATACTATCTTCGCATATTTATAATGTCCCTCCAAACTATCATAGTCATGTTCGTCACTTGCATGGCACCGCTATTTCTGGTCTACTTCGTAGTAGATGGAATCTACATGCTTCAACTCGACAAAACTACCTACGTCAGCGAAAAGCCGAAATTCGACGGGCCTACGAAGTTCAAAGCTTATATCGTACTATGCGTGGCATTTGTGGTAACTTGCGCAGTGCTATCGATATATACTGCGATGTTTGGCGGAAGGAAAAGAGCCGAGGAACATGCGCGCCGAAAGACCAGGTGCGGGAATGTGGGACAACGCGACCATGGAGGAATGGAATGGTTCGATATCAATATTCTGAAGGACGATTCAGAAGTGGATGAGGAGGACGAGAAGCGATTCCACTTCTTCGACTTTGACGATGGTATCGGCGATGTCAGTCTTGAAAGCTGAAGTAGAGAAGACAACATTAAAAAGGAGTCTTTGGGAAGCGCAAGTGTTTTAGAATGGTGCGCGTTGATGTGAAATCGATGCGAGATGAGCTGGACAAAGTAACAACAAGCTTGAGAGGGATTAATGGGTAACTCAGGGCAAAATCGTGCATCGATGTCATTAACACTCGCTCCCACAATGCGCCAGATACCCCTCCTCATCAACCAATCCATCCCATCCATGAAACTCCTCGCACGTTTCCGTCTTCGCAGCGCAGTGAGGAACGATGTAGTCGCATGCTTGGAGCGCGTTAATCACGCAGCTATCGTGGTTGTCGCCGCGCATGTGGTAGATAGACATGCAGGCAAGAAGCCCTATGATCTTGAGGGGCTTACGGATGCGCAGTAGAATGAGACCTGAGCAGGATAGCGCTAGGAGGGCGAAATCGGGGGATAGGTATGAGAACATGGAGGCTTGGGGGTTGGGGAGGTGGGGCGTTGGATTTTGAAGGGATTGTAATGGTATGGTATTTCTGCTGGAGTGATGTCGAGTTTGCTACTCCCCTTCGTGGTTTGATACCCACTGGAACAGAACCCACGAGGAAGCACTGATGCAGCCGGTGAGTTTCTTGTTCTCTTTTCTGAATTCCGCCAACACAACCTCTTCGGGAAAGAGCTAGAAGACTCTCTGGAGAGAGTCGGCTGATGTATAGTCCTCCATGACACATTCACATGTACCCCGTTCATCACCCGGATACGATATACTACGGTTAGTCTTACATCGACTAATGTTTCCATAAGATGTTTCTGGTTATCAACACTGCAAGACCAAACGGTGTACATACATCGCATCTCTAGCCCTTTCACCCAAACCCCCTTCCCTCCCCCCTTATACAACCGCCTAGATCAATACAGCCTTCTATAAACCCCTCTCCCCGTACCCCCACTCCTTCCCACAGTGAGCCTACCGATACCGTGCGACGCCCAAGCTAGTCATCCTGTCGCAGGACCCCCGGAACGAGACAGCAGACCATGAGGAGAACGGCAAAGTTCGGCAAGAGGATGACGAGCGCGGTCTTGACCTTGTGCATGATAAGCGCGTATGAGTTGCCGTCGGCTTTCGCCTGGACAGCGATAGTAGCAAGGATCGTGATGGTGATTGCGATAAATGCGGAGAGCAGGTCGGTGAACGTTGCTGGCATATTGGGTAAGGCTTTCTGTGGAAATGGATACGCTTGGCTGTGCGATGGATGAGTGAGTTTGTGGTGATGGTTGAGAAGAGTGAGCGACGTGGGCGCACTCTTTTATGTGTGCGTTCTGGGTGTAGAGTTTGCTCCAATATCCTATTCTTTATGACGAAATTGTCTAAAACTTGGGTTGGAACGTTCCATTATCACCCGTCTCTTTGAGGAGCAAACCCCAACACGCCTGAAGCGTGTAGTCGCAAGACCTGTACAGTTTCCCATGTCCTATCCACACCCACCACACCCACCTCATCCACCACCCCTACATAGGCAGATTCCAAATAAAATCCAACGTCCCATCATCAAACCCCTGAAACCCTCCCTGCAACCCACCATCCAACCCAAACGGCGCCATCGCCGGATCAAAAGGCAGCGCCAACCAATCATCATCCGGCATATCAGGCATAAGCCCCGTTACGTTCTCCGCTAGGCTCGACAAGCTAGACTGGCCCGCATTATGATTGTTCAAGAACGCCATGCCTTCTGTTGCGGAGGCAGAGGCCGCGTGTGAAGTGTTATGTGAGGTATTGTGAGGGGTGGATGTTGCGCGCGAGGGCAGGCGGGGTGGGCGGGATGACACGACGAAGGATTCGCGGAGGCGGGCGACGTGCAGGTCGAGGAGAGTGGCGTAACGGGATGCGAGGTGCATGTCATCGAGAGTACCTGAGATGTATCATTAGTAGACGACAGTAGTGGGGAGAGATTGCGGTTTACTCGCGCGAAGAGCTCTAATCGCGGCATCCAGGATGTCCAAGCAGCTCTGCAACTTCGCATTCCGACTCCCCAAACTCAACCCTTTGATCAGGTAAATTGAGCTAGTCGTTATCCGCAAGAAGATCCTGACAGGCGAGTACCGCAGCGCCCCTGTTTCAGAAAGCTGACAGACCTTTTGCAGGATCTGGCAGCTTCCGTCGACGACTTCTTGAATGAAGTCGTAGTCTCGCGGCTCGAGGTTGAAGGGAAGGTTATCTTCCTGCGGCACATCGGGATCGGTTTCAGCGAGTGTACGCTCGACGACGGCTTGCATGCCGAGGGAGTTGGTGTAGATGCGGACGTATTGGTATTCGATGTGGAGCATGTCGTGGAGGCCGACTTTGAGCTTGCATGGGTCGAGGTACTTCTTCCGCCATGATACCAGTAGTGGCTGGAAGTGTTCGAGCAGCCCGATGTAGCGACCAGTGCGTAGTAAGCTTCGTGTTGTGGCGGTGTTTGGGTAGATGGTGTCTGAGATTGAGCGCGCGAGCTTGGTGAGTTCGACCCAGGCACTCATGAACGACTGCCATTGCTCGACCGCACCAGTCGCAGAGTCGACTGGTATCTTCTCCATCAGAGCATGATTAAGACTCTGCGGGATCATCGATGTGCAACCGAGCCTCCATGAAAGCTGTTCGAGCAAAACGTATAGTAGCTTCCGAGCCCGAATCCTCCGTAAGATGAGGTACTCCGTCGTAAACTTTGGGTAGGAGACTTGGTCCTTGTCGATTCTAGCGTTGTCTTCAAAGAGACCCAGTTCTTGTGCCAGTGACAGCGCGCAGCCCATCAACATCCATGACATACGGTCGGAACGCTTTGCGGGCTCAATGACATCTTCAAGCCATCGGTTGGACGTTACATCTCCTTCCAACAGCTTCGCGCCTTCCTCTGTGGTGTTGTTCGCGCCGATCATGAGCTCGCAATCCCAGCCATCAGCAGCAGTGGGGAAATGCAGCGCGCGAGGGTGCCATTCAGATAGCAAGAGAAGCGCCTCTATGGATCCGATCGTCCGACTCTGCGCTTTGGATGGCTTAACCTGGCCGAGCATGATCTTCATGATGAAGCGCTGGCATTGCTCCCAAAGCCTGTCGTGCACGAAGTAACCTCTGGATGCGCCACCTACACCAGGAAGAATGTTGTACCTAGATGAAATCATAAGTATGGTAGTGCACAAGAATGGATCCAGCGCAATCAGCGTGTAGTGATTCTCATGATGAGAGTAAAACTCTCCCAGTATTGGCGACAACGGCGAGCAGTTCTTGAAGAATAGATCAACGTAGGTGACCGCCTCATGCGCGGAGAACCAGCCCATCTGCACGAACCGACACGATGTCCACGTCTTCAGCGTCTCTGGTGACGGCGTCGACATCTGCACCGGCTGCGCTCTGAAGGTATGGAACGGCGACGACGGAACACCCTCATAGCCCGATGGCCCCGACCTAGGAGTCTCATATGCTTGCGAGCCCGACTGTTCCTGGCTATCGATAGCATCGCGGTGGTGCGCAGCTTCGAAAAGCAAATTCAACGCATCGCTCCCACTCGAGACCACGGTCCGCATAACCGAATGCGCAAGATCCGGCTGGCTCGACGAGATCCTGCGAAGATGCCCATGAGGTGACTGAAACTCAGCGCGATTCGTGCCGTTGACATGCGGACTAGTCCCCGGCGTGAAACCATGCGTCGATATAGACGACCTATGAGCTGGCGAGGGCTGCACGTTTGGCGCAGGATTTGACTGAGGGCGATCATGAACAGCCTCATCGTCTTCCTCGCCCTCGCGCGCCGCTTCCCCCGGTTTACGTCTCTTAACCCAGCTTCTCTCGGAGCGAAACACACACTCGCGCATCTCCCGCTTGCATCGCTGACATGGTGGCTTTAGTTCACCACCATCTGGCCCCGTACCCAGGATGCATTTTGCCTTGCGTTGACGACAGTTGATGCAAGCCTTATATGCACGCTTGAAGTCCTCGGGGTGGGTCCGCTTTTTGCTTGCGGACGCCGAATTGGCATCCTGTTGGCCTGTGCCAGTAGCGGAGTCGTCCATGGTAATGGGATAAGAGTTATAGATGATAGGGTGATACAACGGATGGCGCAGGAATTGGTGGTGGGCGGATGCCCGGGTATGACTGGGTTTTGCGCCTCGGGTATCGGCGGCCAGGTGGCGGGCTTATTCTGCAGCCGCGCCCTACGAGGTAAGAATGATGGACCATTTGTGCCACGCAGCTTACATGATATGTTGAGAAGCTTCGTTCCGTCTGGGCATTCGCGCACAATGTTTTATGTGTATGGGAAGCTACAGTCGCTGCCAAATTGCAATGACGTTCGTGTAGTGGCCGGCTATTGGTGGGGATCTGAGCAAGCATCGGGAAGGTGCAAGCATGCATTCGGTAATCACGATCGATTGTAAATCATTTACCATGAGGTGCTATCGGGAGCTTACTTACTAGGCTGTACCCGTAACGCCGCTTGTCTGCGCCAAAGCAAGTCCTGGTCGATTCTCAGTATCTTCATCTCGTTATTAGCCACAACTCGTCCGATCGCTCAATCTCAGAGGCTTTGATCCGCGCGAGGATGATTCTATATCAGGGAGGCAGTATTGCTACACCTAGAGAGTGAGGAGATGTTAAGGGCGACATTATGTTAATGTATAGCTAGTGTGTAAGCAGTAGAAATTACCTAGGTAGATAGTTTAGAGTACAATAAAAAAGTAGTTAGAAATTAAAGGTATATTATACGTGCGAGGGCGTTAAAGGGCGCTTAAAGGGCTAAAATAGATAGTACTGTAGTTGCGAGGTGTGCGATGAACGGTTGTATGGTAGCGATGCTACACCTATCGATATCTCTTCCCACATGGGAACGAGCTTTAGTCATACAAACCTTCTGGAAAAGCGTAACATACTCTTAGCTAAGCGCCCGCATGCTGGCATGTAACCTTGGAAGCGTATACAACTTCTATCACACTGCTTTCCTGCCATCCAACTCAGCAATCGGAAGTGTCGAATCACCAAAACCCCGATTATCCACTCGCAGAGTCTTGTCCACAACCGGAAGTTCAGACGCGCCACGCACTTCTTGCCTCATACTACAGGCCACCGGAAGATCCGCACCATATCCCGTTACTTGCTCCGTGTTCAAAGCCCTTGCTCTTCGTTGGTATAGCAAGAATATCCCCAGTGCTACGATACCGACACCGAATATAGCACCAAGCGCTATTCCTGCTACAGCGCCAGAGCTCAATCCATTCTGAGGAGAAGGGACAGAAGGCGTTGACGTTGTTGATTGCGTTTCAGTGGCAGTGGCTAGAGCAGGACTTTGGAAAGGACGACGAGACGTTGACTGTGATGAGCGATCCGAAGTCCGGAGGCTAGACGTTGAGCTTTTGGGTCCTGTGCTGGTGTTGGATGGCACGCTAGTCCTAGTGCTAGACGTATCAGGTGCAGCAGTAGCTGGTCGCGGTGGTGTAGGTAGAGGTACAGTAGTAGCTGGCCGCGGTGATGTAGGTAGGTCCGAGGGATATACGCAATCAGCTTGATTAGCCGCATTAGTGACACAATCCCAGCCTGACAGGCAACAGAGCCATCCACCAAAGCCACATGGGTTCGCGCAGTCTTGTCTCCTCAGTATATCATCGGGTACTTCAATCCGTAGCGCTGTGGCGACAGGGCATGCGAATGAACCAACTGAGATGAGAAGCTGGAGGAATTGCATTTTGGCGCCGGGAATGGAGAAGGGATTCGGAATTCTTATCGAGCAGCCTCGATAAATATCGATCAAGGCTGAGGTGCGCTACTCTTTGTCGAGCTATGTCTTGCATATCTGCCAACTTGGCAACTCAAGGCTGAGGCAAGGCTGAGGAGACATTCATATTATGGCGGAGAGACTGGCGGAATGTCGAAGCTCTCGAGGGCTTCTCCGCGCGCTTGGCGAGCTGCTCATACCTTTCATATCCTGTGATGTTGTTCCTCTTGTACTGTTCCTTTCGTTCCGTTCGATAATTTCTCCATCACTTAAACCATCAACACCATCGCAACAACAACACCAACTCCCACAACACCAAACCAACTCCTCCCCACCCTTCCACTCGCTCCCGTCGTCGTCGAAGCCTGCACATCAGACGCATCAGCCGAACCCGTCGACACCGTTGATTCCGCGCCAGTCGTCGACACCGAAGACGACGTAACGCTCGTATCCGCACTCTGCGCAGTGCTAGAAGACAGCAATGACGTCCTACTAGCGACCCCAACCCCCGTCCCAGACATTGACTCTGAACTTTCTGCGATCGTGAACTGCGTCGAGCTCAACGTCGGTATCAGCGTCACAGTAGCAGTATCCGTGCTAACCACCATCGTCGACATCATAGTAGTAAGATCTGAGTTGACCACGGGCACCGAACTAGCAAAAGCAGGAACCTCGCAAACAGCCTGATTATCCGCGTCTGTCATACAGACTTCACAGCAGAGTGTACCATAATATCCGCATGCTGTGCCGCCGTCGGGGCATCCTTGGGCTGACGCTATGTTGAGGAACGCGAGATGAATGAGTATGGGGGTGGTGAAGCGCATGGTGCTGGGTGTAGAAGGTTTGGAAGGTTTGGGTGGGAAATTGGTGGTGGCTGCAGGCAGGTCTTTCGCGTTTTTGTTTTGTTGGGGTACAATCTTAGGTATTTATCTCAGCGTCGGCCAGGCTAACCTCATCTGAGGTATCTCGTATTTCAATGTCGCATGTCGCTCTTCGCTCTTCACTTTTTACATGACACACTTCGCGGTTGGCTACGTCTTGCGCTATCTCATCTCTTGATCATCTACACGGGATGCGAGGGAATCATGTGTAGTTGGTTTACGCTCATGCCCATATCCCCTTATGATATGCTACTGAGCCGTCTCACACTGAACGCATTGGTTAAGTACGATACAGTTCAGTAGCACATCACACGACGACATAATCAAGATACGTATACTTGGTGTATACATTACATTAAAAGGATCTAGGACTTTTAGGTTCGTAATAATACAGTCGACATCCCAGTCTTCCACGTTGCCACCACTCCATACAACCTCCATCCAATTCAGCTAATCAGCATAAACAGCCCGAGAGCAGGATACGTCATCTGGAACCAATTCATGTCGAGCCCATTGATCGAATCCACCTGGTAACTAACCCGTTGACCAGCTTCACAGGGAAAACTAGCGACGTTGTATTGACGTGCAGGCTCGATGAGTTGTGCAACACCGACGAGACTAGAGTTACCGACACTCTGCATAGACACAGTATCGGGGACTTGGTTGGCGAGGCGGGATACACTGATACCGCCCGGAGTGCGAATTTGAACGGGTGCTGTTTCGGGTAGGGGAAAGGGCGGGGGCATGTGTAGAGCCAAAGTGCAAGTCTTGCCGGCGAACTCAGGACGGATGTCGTAAACGAAGACGGTTGATATGGTAGGTGATAGCTGGGCAGTGTATCCGTTGCCGATCACCTTGGTAGGGTCGGCCTTATCAATGGGGATGAGCTGATGGGGGTATTCGAATGGTTCTTGAAGAGGGGTAAAGGTCGGTTGCGGTAGGCCTTCGATATTCTCAAGACCAATTCGGGTAGACGGAGCGGAAAGCGAAGCTGAACTCTGAGCTGTTGGGGTCGGGCGATCAAAGCTAATTACTGGAATGGTGACAATTGTGGGCTGGGATGTCGGAGCATTTACTGAGGGATGTTAGCTTCTGACCGTCTGGTTTAAGAATTCCTCAGCCCTCTTACTCGTCGACCCAATACCCGTTGACATTCCAATACTGCTGCTGCTCGAAGGCTCCTTCCAATGGCCATTAGTCCGTGCAACCCCGTACGGGGCAGAGACGGAACAAAGGCAATTGCAAGAAACAGACAAGAGCGCAGACAAAGTATATAGGATCGACGCGAGAATGGGTGACAAGAGGAGCATTGGAAGGTACTAGCTTACCTTAGTGCAAGTGCCCGATCCGCTCTGGCAACCGGTACCGCAGTGTCCGGCAGTGTTTCCGCACCATCCGTACTGCGAGCAGCAGTTACCGAATGGCGAGCCAGCGCAGGTAGCACCTCCCTGGGAACCGCAAGTACCATCGGTAGAGACCTTCTTGGACGGGTTGCTGGGTGCGGAACCAGCAGGGCAAGAAAGGTCGAACAGAGGCTTCACCTGCATCAGGTCACCCGCAGGCTTGATGCCGAACGAGGGGACGGGGTTGCCGTACTGGACATCCTGGAGGATGTAGTACCACAGGTTGACGTTGTCCTTGACGAGCTGGCAGGTAACGTCCTCCCAGTAGATGCGGGCATTATCCGCACTGGGCTTACCCTGGTTGAGTGTCTCGCCGCTAACGGGCCATCCGGTCTCGGTAACCCAGACGGGCTTGCCCTTGGCAGCGGCAACAGTCTGGTGGTAGGCGTCGAAGAAGAGCTGGCTGCCCGAACCGACGTTGTTGTTCATGGTGGTCTGGAAGTAGGGGTAGGCGTCCATGCCGATGAAGTCAACGGCCTCAATGACGGGGTTGTTGGTAGCGTTGACGTAGACAGTCCAGGTGTCGACGTGACCGATGGGCTTGCCCTGGAGAGCAGTACCGCGGATAGCATCACGGGTCTGCTTGATGTAGTTGACGAGCTCCTGGGGCTGAGCACCGGCGCCGGACTTGTTCTCGATACCAGTGGGGGTGACACGGTAGAGATCCTCACTGCCAACGGAGATACCCTCAACGAGGTCAGTGAAGGCAGTGCCGTAACGAGCAATGGCGGCCTTGAGAGCAGTAATCTCGTTGTTGAAGTTGGCCTGACCGGCGGAGGCCCACATGCCAAGGAGGAGACCGGTCTTGGTGTTGATAGCAGCCTGGATGGCTTCAATGACGTCGGTCTGGGTGCCGTGCTGGATCATGGTGTACAGACGGGCGCTGGTCCATCCATTGGTGCCAGGAAGCTGCTTGGCGGCGTTGAATTCATATTCAAAGTCGGCCTGCACCTTGGCCTGGTTGTTGTTGAAGTTGGCGCCATAGTTGAAACCCTTGATGGCAGCGTTGGCCGAGGTCAAGAGGCCTGCAGCGGCGAGGATGGTGGAGGAGACGCGCATGATGTTGGTATTAGGAGGAAGAAGACGATATTAAAAGCGTAGAATGAAGTCTTGAGAAGTGAGAAGGGTGCGAGAGAGCGGCGTGGGCGAGGAATGGTGAGCAGGACGCAGCGAAGTATTTATTCGCCGGTGACGTTTTGCTGGATCTAGACGTCGCTGCCGTCTGAAGGCTATTCATCGGACGTGCATTAGCCGCACGGTCACAGCTAATTAGTGCCTTCTCGAACGAGCAGGCACGCAGGAACGCGGATGCCGGCGGTGATCCCAACCCTGAAGCCTGGTCAAGCAATCTTGGCATGCAGGCTCTTCAACAACAGCCTGTTCAAACCATTCCCAACATTCGCATCCTTCGTATGTTGCTGCTTTCATCGCAGTCGTCGACTGTTGAAGCTCACCAAGCATTCTAGAAGGCCCGATGCGGCAAGACAGGGAACGACCCTTTCGCCCCGTCCTCGCTAATCATTGGCCCATGTGGAGAAGCAATACTCAACGGCCAGACAGCGACGTCAAGCCCCGGTATAGGGTCGTATCCGGATAAAAATAACCCAGCATCGACATCATCCCCGCCGCGGGAGATGAGCTGCACATCTCATGATGTGCGTGCAACATGGCACACGCGGATTTATCGAAAATCGTCGGCATCTGTGTGGCTGTCCAGGTCAATAGTTTGTTCATTAACACGAGTGCAACACCCTCATGCGTGTGTATGGTAGACACATGTCCCCGTGTCATCCGTTGGCGTTGCGCACTACCGTGGTTGTGAGCTCGTTGTTGACAGCACTGAATGCACCATCCATCATGGTCGCAGGCCGAGATTCCAGAATATGGTGACGTGGATAGCGCTGCTGGTCCGAACTCAGGAGAAACGGTGCCGACGCCAGGCACTTTCGATCTGAGCTATGACGCGCATCATCGGCTTTCGATCCGCGGATGCGGAAGGCAAGAACTTGAAGTTCAGGCAAAGAAGCGAAGTTGATGTTGGAAAGGTAGAGGATGCGGAGAATTACTCCAGCGGCTTCGTGTCTTGGAAGGCGTTTCGTCCCGGCGCCATGCGCAAATGTCACGAACCGGTACGCTAAGCCTTACCCTTACCACAGCTTCGATATGTCGATGGAAGCTTGGTTAATCGATCAGGCACTCGGAGCACTCTGCGACATCGACAAATCTGGGAGATAACGGGTGGATATCGTGGCTGTGAGGTCGCTTGCAGACATTCCCGTGTTCTATCGGAAGTCCAGCCACGCGCACGGTACCCAACGAGAACCTCTCCGAAATTAGGGACGATGTAATTCTGGCATGAGCAGGTACCTGCGTTGACGTTACGCGGAGTATTTGCATAGCCAGGCGACTTTACCTGGCCGCACGACGGGTACTGAGACATCTCATCATTTCACCCTCATGCGTGTATGGCCTAGATTACTCCGTTAAAGTTGACAGTATGAGTTCGATGAGACTGAACTGCGATACAGGTGGTGCTATCAGGTGTAGTACCACAACTACATCAAATGCAACTCTGAAGCTCTGAAGCATCTAAGTACTGCAATTGTATTACCCAGAAGTTGCGCAGAACGCAGTAACGAATCGTTTGTTCAGAAATGGAGAGAACGCTTCGGGAGAATCAAATCTTTCGTAACAATGCCTCAGACGTAATATTGCTTGGTGACAAGAAACGATGAGCTACTTTTCCAGTACCTAGGTAGTCTCTGGAAGGAGGTGGCAGACGATGTCGCGATAGAGGGCAGTCGATGGATGCGATTGCGAAAATTTACCATAGCTTGTTAGGTGTCAGCTTTCGGAGATCGGTGCAATATTGTGACTGTAGACTTAGATGTATTTGCTAGTTGTGTCAAGAAAGTGATGATGAGTATCAGATGGAAGTCTTGGCATCCCGCCCTAGCGCGATGTCGCGGTCCATGTTGCCTGAAGCTCTAGCTAGAGAATCATCTAAGCCGCCAACACAACTCCGCAACACCTCACCGCCGCCCATACGCCCCCAATCTCGACTTTCCTGTTCGAGACGCACTCGAACATCTCACCGCACCTCTCGACTACACTTCCGCACAAACAGCCGCCATGGTACGCCTCATTGAACCCCGCTGGAGCTCTTGTACTAACATGAGCAGTTCATAGCACGAAGCGAATATGGTAAGCTTCCCAGAGCAATTATACAGTAGAATCCATACTAACTAAACCTCTAGACCGTGGTATCAAGTTCGTCCACCCCGCGCCTCCCACTACAAGCCCGCCCGCTCACAAACCCACAGCACCTTCTCGCCCGAAGGCCGTCTCTTCCAAGTCGAATACTCGCTCGAAGCCATCAAGCTCGGTTCAACAGCAATAGGCGTACGTCCACCCCTCCCACCGCCAATCTCCACAAACTCACACCCCACAGGTCGCAACAGGCGAAGGCGTAATCCTCGGCGTAGAGAAGCGCGTCACCTCCACGCTCCTCGAAACCAGCTCCGTAGAGAAGATTGTCGAAATCGACCGCCACATCGGATGTGCCATGTCGGGACTGCAAGCCGATGCCCGCAGCATGATCGAGCACGCGCGTGTCGAGAGCCAGAACCACGCTTTCAACTACGCCGAGCCACTTCGCGTTGAGAGCTGCACGCAGGCGATATGTGATTTGGCGCTGAGGTTTGGTGAGGGTGCTGAGGGTGAGGAGAGCATCATGAGTCGGCCGTTTGGTGTTGCGCTGCTGATTGCGGGTTATGATGAGGATGGTCCGAGTCTGTATGTCACTCCTTCCCATCTTCCTATCATGTCTTCTCCTACAACATCCCCAGCTCTAGCTCTAGAACTGGGATTAAAAACTAACAACACACACAGCTACCACGCCGAACCCTCGGGCACATTCTACCGCTACGACGCCAAAGCCATCGGCTCCGGCTCCGAGGGCGCGCAGGCCGAACTCCAGAACGAATTCCACAAGTCGCTTACGCTCCCCGAGGCCGAGGTGCTCACGCTCAAGACGCTCAAGCAGGTCATGGAGGAGAAGCTGGATAGCAAGAATGTGCAGTTGGCTAGTGTGACCAAGGACAAGGGCTTCAGGATCTACACTGATGAGGAGATGGCTGAGGTTGTTGGAAGGCTGCCGACGAACTAAGCTTTGGTGGGGGAATGAGAGGATGGCTGGGGAAAGTGGTGGATGACATATGATAGCATCTTGATAGATGTAAGAGTCACGCGAAAATGAAGCAATGACCAAATATCTTGAAGCTCTGAATGGCCAATTATCATACGGCATCAACGAGCTTGTGGTGACATCTGGCAATTGAGCACATCGTGGATCAAGATACGAATAAGCACGTATCAAGCCTTCAACATGATCAAGCCATAAGTACGCCACATCATCTCAACAGTCACCCCGAGCAATATGCAATATATCAACAAAGACAAAAGCGGTCTATTTCCCTGTCTGCAATGCCAATTGTCCCCTTATTATACAGTCCATGCGCCGAACGCCGAACGCTCAGAAAGGGTTATCCTCAGGCGGTATCTCAACCGTGAAGAACTTGTCCAGGATAGGAATCTTCTTCATGATGTCGTCGCGCACCTTGGGGACTTCGGCGAAGAAGAAGAGGGCGAAGAATCCGGCTACACCGCCGAAGCCGGCGGCGAGGCCACCGCTGTGATGGATCAGTTTATGTAATTGGTGGAGAAGGGTGATGGGAGGGGATAGGGGAAGACGTACTACTTCGCGGCTTGCTTGAGGGTAAGGCCGTGGTAGTTCTTCGGGATGGTGTATCTGTGGTTGTGTGTTAGCGTCTGGAGCTTCGAGGTTGCGATGGGCGTAAATCGGGTAGGGCGGCGGGTGTGGGTGTGGGTTGCGTTGTTCCCCCTCTTTTCCATGCGCATCTCGAGCATATGTGTGGCATCCAATTGCCCATACCGCCGCTCATCACAGCGTCGCAACCCATCCTCCTCTTCCCACACCTTCCCAACAACCCCCAACCCAATCCCAACCCTTCCACAGCCTTTTTGATATCGGAAAATACATACTGAGGACCGAAAGGACTCCTATAAGCCTTGTACGGGCTGCGCATGCTCTGTTCCCACACATTAGCTTCTTCCTTCTTCTTTCGTCATCGCCTCCAATTCCCCATTGCACGGGACTCGACTTACGACAGCAGCGGGCGTCTTGCCGTGGTGGCCGAAGGATGAGACAGACATCTTTGGCGAGTTCGTTGGGGTTTAAACGCGGGTGGAAGGGTGATGTCTGGCGTGATGTCTGGTGAGGTTGATGCGGCAGAGAAAGCGCGGGAATGCTGGGCTTGGCGGGCTGGGAGAAAGTGGACGAATCAGGGAGCGCGGGATTTTGCGGGTGGGCTTGTCAGCAGGGTTGGGGAAGAGGACACCACCGTTCCTTCACTTCATGGTTGAGATGCATAGCTTTCTTTTGGCTTTTTTGCTCAATCATTCTTGCTTCGAGTTTACGGAGAATGGTCTGCGCGGTATGATTACTTGTTGACCTGCTCTTGGGGCCTCAACCGCGACACTTCACGATGGGTGCGGAGGTCACTCAAGAAGCTACTTGATCAATTGACTTTGACGGCGAGCACGAAGAGCTAGACATTCATCTCGAATTCAGCGCCGAGTAAGCGTTATTATCATTGCCCCCCGATGATTTCAACTCGTCTGTGGTACGCAAAGGCGCACCTCAAGGTCCATGATGAAATACTAGGTAAGGCTTGGCATCACGTCAACACCAAGCAAACGCGTCTGCCTTGGCCGTTGGTAGGGGTTTCTTTCGCGTTTTCTAGAATTTCTACAGCTCTTCGTATCTACATTGTCTTCGCTCCAAAACAACCAACAAGCATGCTCGTCCCCCGACGGATCACCTCAGCTACCCCTATCCGCCTTCCCAACGATACATCTTCGCCAACACCATGTCGATACTACAGTATGGCGCTGAAAGCGATTCGGATAGCGATTCGGATGACGATACAGTGGTACTGCTAGAACGATTCTCTCGGCCGTCCCAATGGTCGAACACATCGACTACACAGACCTTCCATCTGTTCCCCAGCCTGCCCGCAGAACTTCGCGCCAGGGTATGGGCTATGGCGCTACACAACCAGATCAAACACGTTGGCAGCAAACACGTTGGCAGCAAACACGTTGGCAGGAATAAAATCGATGTTCCCAACGAAACACACGTCCACGAGGAGAAAGGAACGATCATCGCTCACGCGATTCGTGGCTATCCTACGCTCTTCTTTGTCAACCGAGAAGCCCGCTACGAAGCCGCGAAGATCGATGGAGGCACGTGGTATGAATTGAAGCCTAATGTAGAGATCTACGCAAATCTCGACAAGGAAGAAGTTTTCGTCTTTTCTTGCTATCAAGGTCCAGGTCTAGAGCTCGCAATTCGTCGTTTTAATGAAGGAATCAAAATTTGGTGCAATCGCCGCGGCATTTATCCTTGTCTGCATGTCCATTCCGAGTCCAACACCGGGTCGTGGGAGAAGGCAAAGGAATATCAGATATAGCAAGAGGACTCGGATGATACTCGGTACGAATAGGTCAGCCCAGTCGTGCCTTGATCGCGCGCGGGAGGACTTGAGCAGAAATAAGCGTTCTTGGGTTATGCCTCATCATTATCATTTCTTCCCATACAGAAGCACAGATCAAATGTCCCTCCTGCTTCATCCCCAGGTATTACATATTGCGCGTCCTCATCCCTCAGCTCATTACTTCTTCCTTCGATATTTCCCCCAGCATCGTTGAAGAAGCCAAGACAGTTGATAGTGATGCCAGCTCACATCTCATACCTCACAGGCACAGTCGCAGGCGTAGGTGAAGCCTTGGGGTTCTCGTGTGGTTCGCCTCCCCATCCCTTGTAACCTTGACCAACATACGGAGTCTGGCTCATCTCCGCTGGTGATCTCGGCGGCGCTTCGTTCAAGTTCGAACCGTAATGACTCCCATGCTGATAGTACTTGTACTGTTCTGGTTGGACAACGGGTAGTTCGTGGACGACTTCTCTCTTCTTATGACGACGGAACAGCAGCCATCCTACCACCAGTCCGATTATAAGCGCGACAGGTATCCCCACGCCGAGACCGATCTTAGCGCCCATAGGGAAACTGTCTGATGAGGCTTCTTGGTCGGTGAGACTTGGTGCGCCTGTAGCGTCGCCGGCTGGAAAGCTCGCTGATGGTGCACCCGATTCGATGCTGGGGGTGTTTGAGCCAGTCGGTGTTGGAGTCGGTAGTGTATTCGGTGCTCCTGTTGATGCTTGATCTGTTGCTGATGCTGACGCGGAAGAGGTGGATGAAGACGACGTTGGGGCTGCTTCTTCAACACGGCTTTCTTCGATCCAGAAGTAATGACTGTTCGAGTCCGAGGGACCTTTGCCCTCTTGAAAGACGCTGAGATAGAAGAGTCTCGATAGCGTGAGGTTTTTCCTCGTTCCAACAAGCCAGTTGTATTTAGTAATGTCCAGCGCGTTCTCTGATTTTGCAAGTCAGCCCTGTCATGCACACTTCTCCTCAAAAAGGGGATATTCCTTACGCGTTAGGTACTCCATGTCTCCAAACCACATCCCGTCCGTTTCGTTCTGCTGGTAGAGACATAAGGATACGGCGCCTCCTTTCTCACCGGGAGTCCAGACAACATTCACCGTGTCACCTATCTCGTACTTTGGGCTGCCACTCATGTCGCCAATCGTTCCGAAGGGTGGTGGGTTAATAAATTCCATGTTGCCAGACACACATGCGAGCAGTCCGCTGACCACCGCATATGCTGCCAGGCGAACCATAACGATAGGGAAGAGGCCTCAAAGATTGAACAAGTATTGCTTCGTAAATGCAGCAGCAGTAGTAGTCGAATGCAAGGTTCAACCTTGGAATGCTAGACAGCGGAAGCTAGGGGATAAACACTGGACAGTAAGACGGCCTTGCCGCTGTGCAGATACGGCGGATATAGGCGCAGGTACTACATTTTCTTCAACAGTCTGCTCGGCCCGCGGCGACATGCACGTAGGAGGCACAGCAGCGCTTTCCCATGAAGCGCTTACCAGAGCAGGATCTCTTCACGCTCATCTCGCCTTTTTCGGCTGAAGGATCGAGATGAAGCCAATGGAGCCCTGGACGTCGAGATAGCCTTGAAACAAGAGAGGCTGACAAGTCAACTTGGCTCAAACTTTGTGCTACTGCCGCCGGTCTTCAATCCCGACTTTTGGGCTCTGAAATCGGTAGTCACCTGCATGCTTGCAAAGGGCCGTGCGGCCCATCTGTACTTATCCTCGCACCGAGGTCAGCTACCATACGGGACGGCCTCGGGAGGATGACGGGACTGACGTGGGAGCATGTACTACCATGACTGCCCTTGACTGCGTCTATTGCGGCCCCAACCTCCCTCGATTTTATGGGTATGTATGCTCAAATAGATATCAATGGCGTCTACATGGAACAGATGTGTCTTGGCGGGAACACGACAGGCGACAGCACGCGGGTTGCAGGACACATGAGCTGGCTCTCGTGCCTTTGTGATTGGTCGGGGCGTGGGTCTGTCGCTCCCACCCGTGGACGTTTCTTGACCCTGGCCGGGGCCTGGTAGAAGAGCCCCCAAATAACGCAGGTAGCCGCGATCCTTGGGATCCTGTTTACCTGGGGATGGATACTGCCGTGTCAATGTTTTTTCGGACCCACTGATACCTGGCTGTGTGTGTGATAACCCGTGCTCTGCATACGCATGAACCCAGGCGCTAACAGTGCGATGCGCGGCAGCGCCTGAACTTGCCTAGCGTTGTGCGTGAAGGATCAATTAGGCGCCGCAATCAGCGAGTAAAGGGGACGGCATATTTACAGCAGGATGACACGAATCAGGCACCGGATGTCCGCGCCGCATGGGTATCGGTCTTATATGCATTATCGTTCGGTGAGCCCGCCACCAAGGAGACAGACAGACGCTTCGTGATTTCCGCGCTTTCTTTCACCCCTTCCCAGTCCCTCGTTCAACCTTCCACCATGTTATCGCGACCGTTGGCGTTATCCAAAGTTTTCAACTACCACACATTAATCGCTTTTTGTTTGGTGGCGTTAGGATACCATTTCTTTTCCATTCAAGACCGCTTTATCGCCCGTGCGCCGGGAGTGTCCGCCGTCGAGGAACGTAGCGGCTTCCCCAAACTTATCTGGTATAAGCTGGGCCCCAACGGTCTGTCCGACGATACACGAAACTGGACCGACAGCTGCATCAAGAACAATCCCAATTACACAGCACAGTTCTTAACGGACGAGAGCAGCGATGCCTACGTTCGCACAACTTTCGCGGAGTCCCGCCCCGACATCGTCGACGCCTACCTCGCGCTACCCGTCCCCATCTACAAAGCCGACTTCTTGCGATACCTATTACTCTGGGACCAAGGAGGGATATGGTCAGATCTAGACGTCTCCTGCGAAGAAGGTGTACACATCGATGAGTGGGTGCCAGCGGAATACCGCGACACGGCTGCGCTAGTGGTGGGGTGGGAGTTCGATCAAGGCTGGCCTGGCGAATATGTCCGCCAGTTTGCTAGCTGGACTATAATGGCTAAACCGCGGACGGCGCATATGATGCAGGTCATCGATGACATCCTCCAGACTCTGAAAGACAAGACAGCGGAGCACCACATCTCGGTCGAGAACGCCACACTAGACATCATGGGAGACGTCGTCGATTTCACCGGCCCACGACGCTTGACGCGCAGCGTATATACAAGCTTGGGGAACATGCTCAACCGGACGGTTGATGCGCACGATATGATGGAACTGGTACAACCGAAGCTGATCGAGGACGTCCTGGTCATGCCGGGCCGTTCATTCGCGGCGTCTGCCAACAAATACAAACCGGAGGAAGAGGAACGCCTACCACCTCAACTGGTGACCCATCATTACGCTGGTACTTGGAAGAACAAGGACGGAGGTGAAAAGCCGAAAATGTGACGAATGTTGAGAAACACGCATAATCTATCAGCTGCCCGTGACTACGAGGCTTCGGCAGGAGGTTGGAAGATGAAAAAGGCACGATGCCACAAAGCGCTAGGGAAGAAGATTCTTATACTAGCCAGTGGCGCTCGGCTATTTGCCTGACACTTCGCTAGACGTGGCGCGGTCACGCTTCAACGGGGGATGATGGGTCTCTACGACCACAGCGGTTTTAAGGGACGGTCCCGTTCCCTACCGTGCTCAGCCGAACATCTTGCAGCCCCGGAACCCGCTTTCATGGCACTCCTGTCCTGGTACCCAACGCCCAGTGGTTTAGCTTCTATCATCGCGGCTGCACTGGGTCATCCCTTGGCCTTCGGCTAAGACTGTACGAGGACTACAAAGAAGATTCGTCTTGGGGGCGCATCGTGGCGATGCACTACTGCCTCCCATGCGCCTTGCTGTTGTATCGACTCAAGCTAAGCCTCGCAAGTAGTAAATCATATGATCTCATGCCGACCCATTCGCGCAGCGTTCCTCTCATGTTCTTTTTGGTGTCTGCCTCTCATCGCTCGCTGTGTATCGTTTCTCAATTCGTTAGACTACCCTACCCCTACTGGATCATCAATACCGCACCGATCTATCGTTGGACATAGTCCAGTCTACCATGGCTCGCCTCGCAACCTTCGCGTTATTAAATGGACTATTCGCACGTGTCTACAGCCTTGGTTTGAAGTTCGTCAACCCACCGCCCTATGATTCGAATGACGGCCTCGAGGGAGACCAAGCCTTGTACAAAGTGGGCGATACCGTGGACGTCAAATGGACTATGGAAGATGAGTCCAAGCTTGTCTACCTGGTTCTGAATCAAGTCAAGCTGTGGGGGTTGGACACGGCGGATAGTGGCGAGTTTGTCATGCGTACGAAACGTATCCGTTCCATCGCTACCTATGAGGAAGCTAATTGCGAATCCAGCGGCCACTGTCAACGCTACAAGCTACTCTTGGGTTGTCAAGACAAACTCGAGTCTCACTATGTCGAGCCTGTTCTTTCTCAACGTCTTTGGCTCTGACGGGGATTCCTCTACTAGTCAATATTTCCATATCGAGGCAAAAAGCGTCAGCGAAGGTGCCACATCGTCTTCTTTGGCGGTGACGTCTACTTCGTCATCAATTGGAGAGTCAACTGCAGCTTCTACATCAGCCTCAAGAGACCACAGCACATCCAGTGTCGAATCGGGTACATCCTCAGCGAGCACACCGACCAGCGATACCGCGAACGCTCCGACAAGCAGCATCACTGATGTACCGGGCCATTCCGACCAACCAGCCCACCAGCACATACACAACGACTTCCCATTAAGCCTGAAAATCGGGCTCGGCATAGGCATACCTGCCACGCTTGCTCTCGGAATAATAGCTGGATGGCTACTGTTCCGCCGTCGCCAACGCAAGAAGAGAAGGGTATCACATGCACTACCCACTAGCGAAACCAGAGACAATACCGATGTTCCTCGTACTTATGGAGACGTCTACGAAGCGCCATCGAATCACATACTGGAGGTCGGGAAGGATCACGAGCAATTGGGAGGCGAATTGGGAGGCGAATTGGAAGATAAGCCAGCGATTAAGCCTGAGGCCTTACCATTGAGATACGAGATGGAAGCCAGCAGTGTTCATGAGCTTGATGACCAGTCAATCAAACCAGATGGACCTGTCATCAAGAAGGAAACATGATGCAACGATGTCAAATTATGGAGAAGTAAAGTCAATTTATGGCCAATTCACTATCATCTGATGCACCCTGATCGAATACCGAGAACGTACGAGATGTATTCAGCGCCAATGTTTGGGATGTAGAGCAGGCATGGAGTAATACTGTCGATTTGAAGCGGGGGTACAGATCTTTCCCATTTGTCTCATTCTCGGTGCAGACTTTACCGAACTGGGGCAGGAAGGTTTTCATAATTGTCTTGCGCTATGAACGACGCTGACAACAGAGTAAATTAAAGTCTCAGTGTGTGCTGTTTTGCGAGATGGCACGCGGGTTGAGCCTCACGAGCATAGCGCGACTATCTGTGGACATGCATATAGCAGCATATAGACGGGATCGTAAGTGTTGCAATAGTTTCACTACTAAATAAATCATAAACAGTACACATAGCCCAATATGCATGAGGAGCTCTTCCCATGCAAAAACGCCCAAACACCTATCACCCATCCATCAACCACCCCATCTGCTACGCACCAATAGCCTGAGGATTCCAGAACACACTCTTCGGATCAACCTTTTGCTTCAGCGCTGCCAACCTGCTGTACACAGCATCGCCGTAGTACAGCTTATGCGCCGTCGCAGCATCGTAACTCGGATCAACGTAGTTCAAGTACGCGCCGAATGATGTTTGCGGTTGCGCGTTGATGATAGCACTATTAATGCCATTAATAAACTCCATGGAATCACCCCCATAGCCATAGTTCTGCAACACCCACAGACTATCCCTATCGCTGTACGCAGCAAATTCAGTGTCTTTGCTGTTGATAGCAGAGCCAGGGCCGCCGTAGAGGTTGATGATGATGTAGTATTCTGTTCCGTCGGCTGTTTGGAGGTAATCGTACAGCGCATCCAGAGCGTTGGAAGTGAGACCGGTAGACTCAGGGACGGTGACGGACTTGGCGAAGAAGTCCTCGTGCTCGTCGTACCCGGTCAGAGGCTCTTTGATGCTGGTCTTGCCGGATACTTTGACCATGTAGTCGTACCAGGCCATGGACTGGACGGTGGCGCTGGGGTTGGGGAGACTGCGGAGCAGCTCGGGCTTGACTTGTGCGTTGAATTCCGAGACGCTGCCGAAGAAGGCGCCGCTGAGGCTGTAGCCGCCGTAGTTGTCGAGGTAGATGCCGAAGGAGACGCGGTTGTCGACGACGGACGCGTTCTTGGCGACGTCCTGGATGTGCATGAAGGTGTTTGTCCACACGCTCTTGGAGTCGTGGATGCCGGTGAAGCCGAACTCGAAGTATGTGATGCTGGCGGGTGCGGCGTGGGTCTGGAGGTAGAACTTTGTGACGACGCCGAAGGACTCGGCTGCGCCCTTGATGGCCCAGAAGATGTCGGGGGACTCTGTTGATGAGGCCTTGATGAGAGATCCATCGGCGAGGACGACGTCGGCTCCGACCACTTGATCCATGGCTAATCCCCAGTGGCGGGAAGTGTGGCCGTAGCCGCCGTGGGTGTAGTGGCCTCCGATACCGACACCAGGGCAGGTACCCTGGGCTACGGCAGCGTTGCCTTGAGTGTAGATACCGTCACCTAGGTTGCCAAGGCGAACACCTCCTCCGACTGTTGCAATTCCAGAGTCCTTGTCGAGTTGAATGGTCTGGAAAGACTGGAGGTTGATCTGCATAGCGCCGTCTTTGCCACCGGAGCTGAAGCTTGCGTAAGAGTGACCGCCGGACTTGGCCTGAACCTTGAGACCCGCTTGAGCAGCGCACACTACGGCATCTTGAACGTGCTGGTTGGTGGTGGGAAGAACAATGACAGCCGGCTTGAATGGAACGCGCAAGTTGTAGGGCTCCGAAAGTTCAGAGTACTCAGCATCCGAGGTCATCTTGTACGGCACATCCTTTCCGTTCAAGCATTGGAGAGCAGATCCAGATGGTGTTGACGATGGTGACGCTGAAGAAGTCTTGCTGGTGGTAGATCCTGATCCGGTGTTGCTGCCACAGTTTCCGAAGCCAGACTGGCATCCAGTTCCACACTACCAAAATCAGTATATAGTCGTCAAAAAGCGTGTGTGAGTACTCACGTATGCCGATGTCGAACCACACCATCCACTCGCGCTGCAGCAGTTGCCTTCAGCGAAACCCAGACATGTGTAACCCTTTGTGCCACCACATGTCGCATCTGGTGAGACCTTCTTAGTCGGTGTTGACGCCGGCGGTGGGGCCTGTGTCGACGAAGTCTTGACCGTTACTGGAGTTGCTTTTGATGTCGTGCTGCCAGTGCATGTGCCGAATGCTGAGTTGCAGGTAGCTCCGCAATGATCCGCAGATTTCCCGCACCATCCATACTGTGAGCAGCAGTCACCGTACGAAGAACCCTTGCAAGTGAAGCCCTTCGCCCCTCCGCAGCTTCCGTCGGTGGAAACAGCTCTCTTGTTCAGCGGCGCAGCTGGCGAGGCGGATGCCACACCAATGGACAGCAGACCTGCCGTGAGAGAAACGAGGAACTTCATCGCGACGTTGAAGATAGTAATCCGAGTTCAGTCGACGAAGTTACCCAGGAAAGAGCGTAGTATACCCCAAACCACCGGAATGAGAAGGACCAAACGAACGGACCGACAGGCAAGCTTACCCTAATAAACGAGCGGAAAAGCAAAGACCAAGGTCTGTAAGTAAAGTGAGGCCTATACACAAGGGCAAATCACCTCTTAAGACCACAGCCAATACGAGCCATTCGCCTCCTTCGCTGCACATCCTCCCGTACCTGCAGCAGCCGCACGGCCTTGACACCACTAACACGACCTCCCACCGCTCCACTCAACACGAACGAAAACTCATTCTACGCTCTAAGATCCACTTCGAACAGTGTACCCTGGTGTCGATCTTAGGACAGTGTGTGCCCGGTCGGTCCTAATACGAGCTTACTACGCAGAGGCCTGAACGGCGGGCGCTCGTGACGAAAAGTAATTTCGCCGCTCAACGGGTCCTTGGATTTCGTACGAGAGGCATGTGCGCGGTAGTGTGGCTTCGCGGAAACCTGCAACAATGGGGAACTTAATGGGATTGCGCAGTCAAGAAAAAGATGGTCGCCTCGGTCGCGTTGGAAGGGGTATCCCATCTCTGAAGCTCCGGTCAGACCGCATAAGGAAATGACGTCTGTGTCCCCCCGTCACCCTCGCGCATCTCCATCCCTCGCCCCCAAAACACATACTAATCGACCAACACCTCCCGTATTTCCGGCAACACCGCGCGATCAGGCCTTCCAAGGCATGACTTTCCGGTCATTGCGGTGGGGTAGCAGTAAGCTCTTTGTGGGTTGCCGTTGCGGCCCTAACGGCTGGAAGCGACGCTGGGCGGCCCTGCGCGCATGCTATTTTTGGCAGTAAGAGATCTGAGTAAGGGAGATGCGGCATGCGAGGAATACGGGATGCTGCATGGCTTTGACAACATTGCGATGGGGTGGAAGGGGCTTGGCGATGCATTCTGGGGGATGTGTATGGCCGGGGGTTTCTACACGGATGAGAGGGCTGGTGGGTTTGACTTTGGTGTTAGGGAGTGGGCCTTGGGTGATGCAATTGTGCATGCTGTAGCAGCTAGCACGCGCACGACATCGCCGTCGGGTACGGCCAGCTCATCTTCAAAACATTCGTAGAATACTTCCCGCAGACGGGAGATTGGGATTACGGATTGAAGGCGATGTAGCGGGGTTAGCGGCGGCGGCTGGCGATGTCGAGCTGGTAACATATTGTCTGGAGGAGCTGAGGCATGTGGCTGATGAGGGGAGGTGGATTGGGATTCCGATTCTGGATCTTATAGAGAGGGGAGCTTGTAGAGTGCCGGAGAAGAATGAGGAGGTGGTTGAGTTGTTGAAGGCGCATGAGCGATGGCGAAGGGCATGTTTGGGAAGGTAGAGAGAAAGGCGAAGGATATGGCGAGGGAGGAGGAAGATGTGGAGAGGGAAGAGAGGGTGGGATTGTGAGTCAGATCGCAAGGTTGTTCACGCGCACGGAGAGGACTGATCAGGAGAGGAGTCTCATTGCCGCGCAAAGTCAGAACTATCATGCTCCTTCGAAGGAGAAGTAATCCATGCATCCCCGTGTATACTACTAGAACCACCACATATCCAGCACTACCTGAACCCTCGCCCCGTCACAACAGAGCCCACATCATTCTCAGCATCCCACCCGTTCAGAAACTTCTGTGTCACCCACATATACCGCTGCCTCGCCATTTCCGCCCCGGTCTCTGTCGTCATCCGCTCGACGTACTGCCCGCCGTGCATATGCCGCAGACAACTGACATCAAAACCAACCCCAGGCTCCCTGTATAGTTCATCCATACCATGGAAATAGAAATATCGAGCCACGCCCACAGCGCCCAGTCGTTGGAGGTGATATGCATCACGCAAGACGCGGTGGATGGGCTGCTCGTGAGAGAAGTTGGTAACGGTGAACCCTTGCTCACCAATTTGAATAGTACCCGAGAGGCGTGCAGCGAGCCAAGAGGCCTGCCAAATGATGTTGGGCGGGCATCCCGCTGCCCTCAAGAACTCGCGTACGATTTGCCATTGATTGCGCTTCTCGTCTGAGGATAGATACCATGCGTCACTCATATCGTGGGTGATGTCGTGCGTCATGCATAGTACCCACAGGAGTGTGGAATCAATGTCCCGAGCCCATTGATGCGTCCTCTGTTCTTCCCACAGAATCCACGCGGCATCGGCGACGACACGCAGGGTGTGTTGGTAGTCTTGCAAAACGAAACGCTGGGTGCGGTCGGGATGTGACAGGTAGACTTTGTTCCTCTGAGTACGGACGGCGACGTTGAGGGCCTTGAACCACGCGTAGTCTGCGTCTTTGATTTCCAGGCACTTCTGGCTGAAGAGCGGAAATGGCTTGGTGAACGGAAGTGTCTTGGTGAACGGGTTGAATGCGAAACCATCAAGTGCTTTGTTGGATGTACTGAAGTTGCGATACCGAGGGCCTCCACCGTGGGCGCCGATGTTGAGATTCGCGCCAGGCCTTGTCATAAAGCCATTGGAAGTGCTTGAGAGCTTTCGGGTCGCTGTGATACCGGCGAAGCGGCGGGACGCAACATTGCTGAGCAACCTCATGTTGAGATTGGAACTGAAGAAGCTGGTGTAGAATAGCAGGGTTTATCGAGACAGGTGATTACATACGACAACGGGGAAGTCGCGCTCAAGGCAACCTTGGAAAGGCGTGATCAAGAAAGCGTAGAGGCCTTGCGCTAGTCCACTCGCAGTTTTCGAGTCAAAATGCGAGTGAAGACCATATCAAAGTGACGCTGCGTTCACCTGTCCACGTTTCTTCCACTGCTCCCTCGCTTGCAAGTGTCGCCGTCCCCTAGCCGTACAACTTCTACATGTATCGTCGCTATATCTCCAGGGCTCGGCGTCTCGTCGCGCGGAACACGCTTGGCGGCTGTCCTTCTCCGTGCCAATATACCTCTGATTGTCGATGCTCGTAGCACAATGGTGCGCACTTTGTGTTTTGGTATCGTAGCCGTGGATCAAGAATATCATCAACCGCCCATCGTCTTACTCTTATCAACACCCTCAACCTTCTCCTCCAATTCAGCTGAACACCTCTCCTCTCCACCATTACCCAGCCCTTCCTCTCCGAACTGTTCCTCACCACCCCCATCGCCATCCTTACCCTCCGCAAGCGCCCTATACTTCCTCCTAGCTTTCTTCCCACTACTCGCCTTCTTCTTCGCCTTCTCCCTCGCCTTCACCTTCGTCCTCGCCCCCTCCCCCAACTCCATCTCCTCAATCCTTTCCTGCAGTATCCTTCTCGCCATCTTCCTGTTTATCTCCCGGCTCCTCGTGTCCTGGTATTTCACTACGATGCCAGTGGGAATGTGTTTGAGTTGTACGGCGGAAGAGGTTTTGTTAATCTTCTGGCCGCCAGGGCCGGAGCCTTTGAGGAAGTTTTCGATTAGGTCCGCGTCGAGGAGGGGGGTGCGGGGCGGGAGGGATTTGCCATTGAGGAGGGAGGGAGAGGTGGAGAGGTGGGCGGTTTGGAGGCGTGGGATGGTGGGGTGGAGGCGGAGGCGGAGGAGGGGGGGGAGGAGGCGCATTGTTGGGTGTGTGTTAGGGAGGACGACGGCATGGCGGAGGCATCGCGATAGCATTGGTATTACTGGCACTGTGTAGAAACTTCTCGCACTCTTGTCGTCGATGATACCATGCAGCTCACGCGCTAGATGACCCGCTCCCGATCGCAATCAGCTAATCGACCACCCCTGCTCCGAATCCGCGTCCCTGAACCCTTCATCTCCCCCATCATCCACCGCTCCTAACATTTGCGCCTACACACATTAACCCTCCAATCCCACCTCCAAACACGCCTTTTCTGTACGCGCAAACACGACGACACCATACCGAAAAGTTCTATGATTGATACAACGACGCTATCCGCCATCCTCCTCCTAGCCAGCGCATCCACGCTCCTCATCGCCGCAATGCTGTACCCATCCGCCCTCCTCCGCTGGTTCCAGCGCAAGCGCTATCAATACGAAGTCACCTTCTCGCTGTACATGTTGACGTCGACTGAGAAGTTTATCTTCAGTACGTCATAAACACCTTGTCCTACCGCATCAAATCGCACCCGCAACTCGGTTCTTGGAGATGAGCCACCGCCCCTTTCCACGTCGCTCTCCTCCCACACCGACCTTTGCTACTACTCTAGGATAATCGCTAACGACATGATTTTTGCAGACTCGGTACTCTTCCTCCTCCTCTCCCTCCTCATAATCGCCGCGTCGCTGTACCTGCCCGAGCACCTGACTATCATCGCGAACCGCATGTTCTATTACCTATCCGGCAACCACGATTCACTTTCGAGTAACTCAGTACCTAAAGCTGGCGGTATCGATACAGGGGTCACGCCGAATGGGCCGCTGGGTGCGGGTGCGGGTGCTATGAACAATGGGCGGGGGATGATGGAGTTATAGGGATTCAAGCGGAATGGATTAGAAAGGATATCCTGGAGATGATGGATCTGGTGAGGGGCGTCGAAGCGATGCTTTAATCGAATGCCCTGGGAACATGGCCGCGTGTTGGAGGGCATGAAGTCTTCGGCTTGTTGCGCCCCGACGGGGTCAGGCTTCTACCGCCCACTATGAGACGGCAGTACAGACTCCAAGCGCACAAAAATCCCGAACACATACGCATAAGGAAAAGGCGCAAGACGGAGTCACATTCACCAATCAGGCATACCTATTTCCCAACGACTATAGACATACGACAACCACAGTAATGTTAATACCAAGCCACCACATTTTCCCTCACGCCTCCCTCTACGCCCCGCAGACGCATCGCACGTATCTCAACCAATTCATCCAAGAGCATGCACACAGCACTTCACACCCAGCAAACACATCTCGACCCTAGCTAACACCTCACGTGAACGTCGCAGCATGCGCTGTGACATACTTCGTATATGCATCATGCATGCCCGCCAGCATCTGTCACATTCCAACTGCATGATACATGGGCGGCTATGCTCGACGCCGAGATCGGACGACTTGTCTGTATGTGTACGCACGCTCTGCGATGTGACGTGACGTGGCTCAAGTACCGCAATGGTAGACTCCGATTGTGTGGAACGGCGTAGGGCTGCGGTTGGTAGTGATTGAAGGGAGATTGTAAATACATTGATTATTGTGTATAGGGTGTATCGGTAGATGTACTGTTATTGCAAAGGACATGTCTTTGAATGGAGAAAATAGCTTAAAGCGACTTCATGCCGCCTGATATGCAGTGTAGATAGGACTTATAACGTATAAGGGGAATGATTGAGAGAAAAGAGTGCCGTGTGTTACAAGTTTGGAGCCATGTATCCACCAGTGTTGTAGTGATGCTATATTGTAAAATTCAAGGTCATAATTGGGGACGTGTCCCGACTGTTTCGTATCGACCGCGCTGCCGAGCCGTTCGTGGCCATGCATCCGCTTGATATGCTCGATTTGGAAACCGCGACATGATGTTGTACAATAGACGGGGCGTTCAGTTGCCAAATAGGACACGTACCGCATTCACAAGTGCTGCAGTAGTATAGTCGTTGACAGTAACAAGTGCTGGGAAGTCGTATGCCGCATTGACATAAGCTTGGCCCGTGGCACCGTCATCGATGAGAATGAGGATCATCGGAAGTCCGGGTATGGTATCGTTCTTCGCTATCTTCTTTGAAATGCTCCGCGCAAACTTCAATTGCCGTTCAAAAGCCCGAGCCTGGTTGCTGATGACGTTCGATGTGGCGCATATGACGATGACGACTGCTCCGCTGGTTGGTAGAAAATCGGCATGCATCTCTGTCATACCAGAGTCGAGACGGTATGGGACGTGTCGTACTTGTCTTGGTAAAGCGCGGCCGAGAGGCTCGAAAGGGTCCATGTCCTTTGCCAGTATCGTCGATGGCGGATGGGGTACGAATGGAGTGAAGAGTGTGATTATCTCTGCTTCGTTCAGGCGCCGCAATCGTTCGAGAGTTTGCGTTGGACATCGTACAATTTTGGCGGTTCCGGAAGATGGATTCTGCGTCGCGGTCGACTTGCTAGATGCTGAGGTCATCTTGGGTCGATGTGTGTTACTCTTTGAGGATGGTTGGCTCTTGCGTTCACCCATCACTACGCGGCTGCGGATGTTACTATGGTGACGGTAAAGAAGCACCAAAAGGTCCTAGGTGAGCCAGCCGAGAGGAAGATTCGAGATTGCTTTGGGCATCGTTTGCAAAAGCACAGCTCTTATATTTCGATCGCCCAGACTCAGGTTCTCATAGCGAATCGACTCTTGCTTGTGCAGGGAAGGGCACCGTCAGAATACCGTGCCGGTTGACGTTGCAAGCCGAAGCCAGCCGGCAACGGGCGTAAGATGTTATGCTGGATGGCAAGGTAGATGTTCCGGCTATGGTATTCAGGAGTACAAAAAGCAGCTATGCAAGGTTGCCGGTAGCCACCCCAGGAATCGTCAAATGAGGTGCTGATGTCGAGTGTTTGTGGATCGCCGAGTGGACCGTGACCTTGTTAATAGTAGCTGAAGTTCCTCCCACCCTGTTCGATTAGAATTAAGCCCTTGAAGATGTATGCCAATACGATAGATAGTAATACTTGGGGTGGCACCAGATAAAGAACGAAGAAAGTAGTACACGACCTCGGCGAGGCAGTCTCCGGTGCAGATAAAGAAGTGCATCCACTACCGTAGCAGGCGGAGGTCTTACCGATTGGATAACGTTTTCCCGTTCACAGCCATGACTGACACGACAGAAGCGTTGCCGTAGCGTGCTCGCGCATGTCAGTAAGGAGCACGGCGGGCGTATAAGTGCACGGCGACGGTTGCATCGGGTAGCAGCAGGATCGTGTATCGAGAATAGATGACGCCACATCCAGTCGCAGATCCAAGCTCCACATTGATCAGAGATGTACGTGTCAGCCTGTTGTAGATGAAGGGCAGTCCTAGAGGCCCGCCGGCCGTCCTGATAGAGAGTGATGGTCCAAGGAAAGCCGGCCACTCATTTCAAAGCAAGGACCAACAGCCAGGTTGATAATGAAGGTCGATACCCGACGCGTGCTTGTCATCGCGGGCAAGGCGTACAACGCGCGGGGGTCAGTACAATTCGAGTCAAGGTTGCAGGAGGCGTGCTTGAGTTGATGGCTGACCCGCAAGGCCGCCACCACCCATGACAAGCCAGTAGCAGTTGCGCAAGCCGCAATCATTACATTTCGATGCTTGCTGTGTAACACATAGGGTTGACCTCGATGTGGCGATGGGCGAGAGCTTCGATGCATGCTCCAGTGATGACACGGCCATGCGGGTGACATCTGCACGATTGATTGAATCAAGCACGAGTAGCGTGAACGAGCCGCGGATGGCCAGACCGGCAGCCGCGATGCTGTGTGCCCACACAGAAATATTGGCGATGATATCGAGGCTGGCGATACATCGATTGAAGCGTCGAAGCAATGCTGGTACGGGCAAAGTGCATGTGAAGAGTCGTGTTTACCGTGATGTGTTAGCGGGGCCGCTCGCTTGTTCGTAGCCCATCGAAACAGGGAAGGCGCGATCAGGCTGTCAACAACCACCGCGACGCGTCTGCATCATCAGCGGCTCATACAACAACGGCTGACAATTGTCTTACTGTATGCACGTTGCACTGGTAGCGTGATGCCATCGGTTGCCGGTAACCCCACATCGACTTCGCTCCAAGCCAGCTACTGATGGACTCAGCAGAAGAGCGGCCCACGCTGCAGGAGACGCTAAACTTACTGCATCAAGGTAGGTGTCGATATGCGGCAACGAGCCCGGTCAGGATCAGTGCTTACACCGGCCTGCAGCATCTAGAACAACTGCAAAGCAACGGACAGTCAAGGTCTCAAGCATAGTCGATGTCATCTGCCGTTACGCCTCGGATGATGGCCTTGACCAGGATGCTCTGCGAGACATAGTGCAGCTCGCGTCGGTGAAGACCCTGCTAGACCAAACCACCATCACGACTTTGATCAAGAACTTGTACCCGTCTCAAAAGGTTCCAGGCGATGTTGTCATTACTATTGTTGGTGCGCTTGGGCAGGGCAAAGGCAAGCCTTCGCCCGGTACACAAGACAGTCTTGTGAAATGGCTCATCGCAATTCATGAGGTCGTGGAGGATTCGAGCGTCTTGTCCCGCCTATATGGTGTGCTGTTTGGTATGCTCGACATGATCAGTATCAGGTGTGTTACTTTGGCCTGTTACCAAGAACATAAGTGCTAAATTTAGCAGGACATCTTTGTGTCATCTGCTGTCCTTGATCACTCGCAGGAAACACGTTAAGCCATTCCGGATCCAACAACTGTATGTACAGGGCTTTCAGCATCGATACCACCCAGATACCGATAACTGATCATACTACAGACTAGAGCTGTCTCGCGGTCTCGGCAACGAGCCTGCGCTCCAAGGTCTCCTCCGTGTCTACAAGGATTACTATCCCGATATCATACTCGGAAGCACTTCCACAAGCCGAAAGTCGTTCGCTCCGGTGAGTATCCGTCTCTCGTACCACCACAAATGCAACCTCAGATCCCCCACGCTACTTCCCCGCATCTTGTTGTCACACTGCTGGATGCACGCTAACTTGATAGCGACCTGATGCCGAATGGCAAGCCAGGATCGTTGCCATCCAAGAAGCTAGTGTGGCGGAAGACGACTCGAATGTAGATGGGCAGAACGGTTTCAAGGTGCTACGAAGAAGGCTCAAAGGCAGCAAAGGATCGGCGATTCCGGACGTGCATACCTACCGTGCGACCGAGGTGGGCGAACATCTCTGTTTAACGTCTTGGATGTGCTAACAGTGTGTGACAGAGCTCAGCAACCCTCGAGGGTATCGACAGTGTTGACGATTTCGTGGAAAAGCTCGATAGAATAGAGCCGCCAGGCCAGCTGATAGCGCTTCTCGTGGATCCTTTGCTCCAGAAGTACGTTGATCTTAAGCCGTCACCAATAACAGCAGGTCGATTAGGAAATTGGCTCGCGACGTGCTTGGAAGAGCAATTCGAGGAGCACCAGCAAGGCACTGGAAACGAGCAGTACCTATATGAAGTTCTCGATGGGCTTCTGAGGTACGTTCAGTACACGAACGTAAGTGCATCAGCAGGGTTCACGTGCAACTGCCTAACTTATCTCAGTCACTCCATCCTACAGTACTGGCGTTTCTTCGTGAATACCTGCCGATATGGGATGGCCAGCAAGATCTCGATTCTTTGTTAGGACTGGTCTCTTATATCCCGATTGAAGTATTTGAAGACGCCCACACAACCTACCTGTCCCCTGTCGAACGAGCCCTAGCAGCTCATGGCCTTATCGCGTACACAAAGCTCGTCGACTTCTACACAGCTCTACTGCAGCACCAAATAACCCACACAGCGTCCGGAGCTGCCGACCAAAGAGAGATTCGACAGGAAGTCTTAAGCGACCTAATCGAGCATGTAGCCACCTTGTTCACTTCGGCTCTCGTCTCCATCCCACCAGGTTCCAGCACCACCCTCACATCATCGATCCTCTCGTTCTACGAACTCCTCAGCACCTCCTCGAAACCACACGTCATCCCAATACATCTGCCACCGATGCATCTCGTCTACCTGCTCTCTCAGGACGCATCTTCAACGACGCTTTCTCGTATCTGCGGCATCATCGGCTCTTACAAGCTGGCTTTTGATGCGCACCCCAAGCCGGTCAAGACATACTATCCTGCGGAAGTCACAGATGCGTTCAATTGGTGTCTGCGCGACATGTATAATCTAGTGTGGGTTTCCCGTGGTCTTCTCGTTCAGGACCAAAAGTCGAAGGGGTTGTACTGCGATCCGATACTGAGGGGGACACTGAACGAGTATCTACGGAGAGTAGATCGTGGATACACTATCGGGGCTGCGTTCACGTTGTCGTACAACGCGTGGTTGGCTTCGCTCTCTGCCGCGGCGTGGCGTGCGGTCGAGAAGAGGGAGGTTGATAAAACGGGTGAGAAGAATGTTACACGGTATCACGACGGGCCTGTTACGGAAAAGAGTCTGGAGGTACTTAAGAGCAAAGGCGGCGTTGACGTCGATTGGGAGGGCGCGGATGGATACAAGGTTATGGTGCTGCAGTGGCTGACTGAGAGGGGGTTGGGTGGGATTAGGGATTTGATGTTCGCTACCGTTATCAACTTGAAGGGTACCGCCTGATAGACACCAATTCGATAGATTTATGATGCCATATAAATTTCCAGTATGAGTCTAGCGCTCGGTTTGATGTTCGTGGTGCTTCGGCGCCAAATCTCACAACACCACGGCGCACGGAGCACCTTAACATGTTGCTAACATGTTGCTAACATATTGGGAATACGTTGGAATCGATTCAGGATCGATCCTAAATTATTGGCAGAACACCAACACTCCAACTCCCCAGACCTGAACATTCATGCACTCATGCATATATGGGCAAAGCTGCAGTGTTTATGCTCGCTATCCTCAACCTTATCCTCAACCCCGAGTGTTTACCGAGTCTTCACTGAGTCTTTACTGAGTCAAGACTCAGACTTTACCCAGTCTTTACCAGCGCTAACCCAGAAATTCTTGCCCCCCATGCCCAACAGACATTCCACGAGGCAGTGAACCCATGCAATTGTGGTACATATCAAAACACCAAGATCGCGCATCTGCCCCGGATACTTCTCATAGCGTTCCAAAAGCATTCGAATTGCAATCTGATGTTATGGGATTACCTCGGCTGTCCCTCGCTTCACATTTGGAGTTCTTGAAGCTCGGCTGTCCCAGAGATTTCCCCCGATGAGCTCAGCTGTCCTGGGCTTCGAGCTCCGCTGTCCTGGAAATAATCTCCGACTTCACGCTCAGCGTATTTCATCGTGTTCCTTCTCCTTTCGTTTCAACCACAACGCGTCGCACTCACGACGCGTCTTGTTACATCGCCTCTTTTCCACAACGCATCGCATTTCATTACATCACGTCTTATTGTGTCACGTCTCATCCAAAACGCGTCGCGTCTCGTCCTCGTCAACGCGCGCCTGCTCAACACCAATGCAGAATCCGCGGTCGTCAATCCAGCTGCCTTCCACTTGGGTACAAATGGACGAACACAACGCCCTTCAGACATCACGAAAACGCAAAGCATCCGACACCGATCTTGAGCCGCCGCTCCGGCCCAACGTGACCGGCCATCGTGCACCATATCCATACGGCCTGCCTCATGGTCTCGTAAATGGGTGCAATATCTGCCCCAAAACGAGTCGCCGCATTCAATGCAGTGGCTGCAGAGTAGTTCATTACTGCTGCCCCGATCACCAAGCCCTCGACCAGGCAGCCCATCAGACAATCTGCGATAGGATCCAGAGGATTTATAAACTTATCGGTGAAACCGAACGTGAACTGGGCCCACTGTGCCCATGGGACAGCGACTCAGGAGACGACGAGGACAGGCCCATCGACCCCTTCGGACCTTCGAACCCCAATTTCTGGTACTGGAAAAAGACCAGGAAGTACATGTACATGCGCCGGGATTACGCTTACGAGCTGATAAAACTCAACACCAAAACAGCGATCGACCATGCGTTAGATGACACATGGTCTCTCTTACGAATGGATCCCGAGGATCATCTGGGGATGCGCTGTATCATGCCCTGGCTCTTCCTCCGCTTGAAACGCGACCGAGAATGCTACGACTTCTGTAAGTGGTGGGTTACCGAAGCCAAAGACAGCGATTGGGACTGGCAGTCCGAAGATACACCCCTGACTTTTGAAGACGCGTTTGAGTCGGCTGATGTCTTTGAGCGGATTAGAGATTACGGCTCAGATCCTCCTACCTTCTCTGATCTGTCGTTCCTCCTTGCTATCCTATTACTCAAGATACGCATGCTTTCCGATGTCAAGTTCCTGCAGCACTATAGAGGCCATGACTTCGCGCGATACAGCCGCAGTACCATCGTGCTCACGGACCTCTGGAAGTATGACCGCGAAGGAGAAGAGTATTTACCGTTCATTAAAGAGCTGGAGAACCAGGTCAGGCGGCTATACCGCGCCGTTGGTAGAGCTAACAGATATTTCTGGCCTGCATTTATCGCGCCATGGGCTCACCTTTCCGCAACCCCCTTATCTTTTACGCTGGGCGATGAAGCGGAGATGCAGATCAAGTTGCAGGAGTGCTTCAATGCTTGGATGGAGACACTCGGAGCTACTGGACCGATCCGTGATCTGATGGAAGGTAACGATAAGCATTGGTACTCCATGAGCGGAGTCTGATGTAGATAGTCAATCTTAGAGATGGTTTCAAGATGTGGAACTGCCATCAGCCTGAAGGATGTCACCATGGGTGGCTACAATCCGTGTCGTATTCTCGAATTTCATCATTAAGTCTGACGTATACATTGCCTCAGACAGTGTCTATTTGTTGTATTATAACGGCTTGTATGCGACACGCATTATAGCCATCCCTAGTGGTGCCATGAGCGCCCTGATCTAAGAGAGTCGCCTGCTTGGGAGAAACGACTCACTTATCTCTTATCCCACAATTGCTTGATGATATTAATAGCCCCCGGTGTCTCATGCCAAGCAGCGTAGCAGTCTTTCAATACGATCCTCGGTTTCTGCCTCAATATCCATTGCAAACGGAGGCCGCTTGACCGTCTTTGATCGTGGAGGGACAGAAGACATCAACGCCGGCCAGAAGTGTTTGTTGACACTGCGTATCTCTCTCAACAGCATGTAAACCTGTTCCCAAAGCGCTCCAAACAGTTCCAATTCCGTTCTCATGTAGAACCCATACGTCGTGTCTCTTCGATATCTCGCAGCCACAACGCTGCTAACGTGTCGTTGTAGATAGGTTTCCGGCTGGGGGTCGTTCCGTAACAACTGCAGATCCATGCGGATACGTATCTTAACTAGCATCATCGCAACGAGTAGTGAGAGATCAACGGAAAAAGCTGAACAGATCTGCAGCCTACATTAACATAAAAACATGCAAAGTAGGTCATTCAACTTCGATGTAGGCTCTAGGCCTGTTTAGGGTTTTTTCTTGTATAAGGTGGCACGGATGCGTCGAGGAACCATAGCGACCAGCGCCCCAACAACGCGGCTTATAGAGACGAATGTCAACAACTCAGGTATGCCAGGGCAGCGACTCGACAACTGCGCCGCAAGAATCACCGATCGTTGGGGTTGGGACGAGGCAGGGCCAGACTTGGGCCTCGGACACTAATGTCGGGACGTGAAGATGCGTGGGTCTTCCTAGCGGGAATGACTCGCGGCGGCGGATGTTGTTTTGTAGTTGTTGACGGAGAGCATCTCCATGTATTCATGTGAGTCATGAAGGAGCTGCGTAGAGCCGTATGAAGTCAATTGCGATGTTGACGTGTATTTCAGTGAATATAACGCTACATCCTTGGTGTGAAGAGAGCTGGGATGAAAGCGGAGCTGCAGCTATGACGCTCGCGGGACGCGAAACACGTGCGCCCAAAGTTCCTGGGCATTGGCTGCGCGCAGCTCCCCACCAGCTAAACCCAGCTGCATTGCTTCATTCCCAATCCTCCATGCAGAGCTTTCCGGCGCCGGCAATTCTTATATCCTGACCATTGCTACTGCGCGTTGCGACTGCTGGAGCTCACACTTTCGTGCAATCAACTACACTCGCTCGCTAAGCCATGAAGTTCGGCACGACACTGCGCAAGAGCGTGTATGCGCCGTGGAAGGACAAGTACATCGACTACGACAAGCTCAAGAAGCTCCTCAAGGATAACGAGGATGACGATTCCTGGACCGCCGACGACGAGAGCGCGTTTGTTGACGAGCTGGCCAATGTGCAGTTGGAGAAGGTGCACAACTTCATCACCGACATCTCGCAGAAGCTGCGCGACCGCACGACGGCATGCGAGAAGAAGCTGGAGCCATTGGCCATAGGCATTCAGGCGGAGGGCAAGGAAGAGGTCAAGGACGACAAGGAGAAGAAGGAGAGCAGCGGTGAGGGCTTGTTCGGCGACGCGTCAGGCGAAGCATCCAAGAAACCCGAGCCCAGCCAGCAGGAGAGGGACAAGATCCTCAAGGAAGTCCTGCGCGAGCTCGACAACATCACCAAGGAGACCAAGGAGCTCGAGAGCTTCAGCCGCATCAACTTCACCGCCGTCATCAAGGCCACCAAGAAGCACGACAAGATCCGCGGCAGCTCCTACCGCCTGCGGCCCTTTATCGATGCGCGCATTGCCCGCCACCCGCTGCACACCGAAGATGCCTCGCCGCTGCTGTACAGGCTCTCAGCGCTGTACTCATTCGTCCGCCAGAGCCTCGAGGGCAAGTCCAAGGAGGCTTTGTCCTTTGGCGAGACCAGCACGGATGGCGAGGGCTTCACCTCTCACAAGTGTATGCACACCATACATCATTGGCAAATATAAGCTAACACACACAGTCTGGGTCCACATGGACAACCTCTTCGAAGTCAAGACCGTCATCCTCCGCCGTCTCCCCGTCCTCGTCTACAACCCCATGTCGTCCAAGGTCGCCGAGGGTACCCAGCGCGACCCTACCATCACGTCCATCTACTTTGACAACCCCAACTTCTCCCTCTACTCGGACAAGGTCAACGGCAAGCCCGATGCCTCTTCGCTGCGACTCCGGTGGTACGGACAGCTCGGTGAGAAGCCCGAGATCATGTTCGAGAAGAAGGTCATCAAGGACGGCAACGCTGCCGAAGAAGTTCGCTTCCCGATCAAGGCCAAATACGTACAGTCTTTCCTCGAGGACAAGTACCACATGGAGAAGAGCATCGAGAAGATGGAATACCGCCCCAACAAGAACCAGGAGGAGGTGGACAACTTCAAGAAGGCTGTAGGAGACATCCAGAGCTTTGTCAAGGAGCAGAAGCTGCAGCCAATGCTGCGCGCCAACTACACCCGTACCGCGTTCCAGATCCCCGGCGACAACCGCGTGCGCATCTCCCTAGACACCAATCTCGCGCTGATCCGCGAAGACGCGCTCGACGACGACAGACCCTGCCGCGACCCCGAAGACTGGCACAGGCGCGACATCGACAACGGGCAGATGGAGTTCCCCTTCAAGGCGCTCAAGAAGGGCGAGCTCCACAAGTTCCCCTACGCCCTCCTCGAGATCAAAGTCAAGGGCCTGAAGAAGTACGAATGGATCGAAGACCTCATGCACTCGCACCTGGTCAAAGAATCCCCCCG